AATTAATTAGATGCGTTTATAGAAACTGTAACAGTTGTGATTCTCTGTTTTTGTTTTTAAATTTTCCTGACGTGGAAGTGCGACGAGTTGCTGTAGTTGGTGCAGAAATGGGAAGTGAATGAACTTGTGACTACTTGCCTCAACTTGTTCAAGCGTTGAAACATAGAACATGGGAAGCCTCACCCTCTTAGCTCGATTTTTGCTTGAACCTCTCTCACGTCTCTCGTGTTGCACATCATCTCTATTGTTGTTGATGCAATTCTGGCCAGGACAGTGTCTCAGGTATACTTGCCAGGTTCTCAATTATGAAATATATTCTGAGATATTTAAGTGGAGGATTTCATGTACGAGAGTGAGCACAAGTGAAGCATAACATGAGGTTTTCAACACCAAAAAAGAGAAAAAACCAGCAGTTTACTTACCATTTTGATATTGTTCAATATATATAAAGTTGGCAGTGTATCTTGGAACAGAAGGCCCAATGACTGAAATTTAATAAGAACTGAAAACAGATTATTTGAAGAAAGATTATCTGTGACACAAAAGTATTAAAATTGACATCAGGAAGAATATTGGGAATATTTATAGAAAATGTACATTTTGTAATAACATTGTCTTAAATATTGATGATGATTGATTCTGAATTCTGCGTATTGTCACTTCAAATCGTAATATTAGGGTGTTGGATTCCATGCCTACAATTTTTATATATGAAATTATTTAGAGAATGTACAATATTGAAAAATATTATTCAGTAATACAGGATTTTAATCATATGTAAACAAATAAATAAGCTATTTTATTGTTGTGTTAATTACCAGCATGTGGTTTAGCCTAGTGGTAGTTTGCTTACAACATGATATTTTTATATATTTTTTTTCTTTTTTAAATAATTCACTCTTTCTGAGTGTGGATTATTTTTTTTGATCTTTTAGATTCATCTGAATGAGTATTGTTGAATGATGCTGGCCTTGGAGAAGCTCGTTACCCATACGACGTCTGCAGTTGATGCATTCGAGCTCTTCTAGGCAATTTTCTGGTGAAAGCCCTTGCCGACACAAGCGTTTCTTTCTCAACAACTTCTTGTACAGTATCAAAGGCATATAAATATAAAATCTTTTGATGAAATTGAGGTATTTGGATGGTAAAGAAGATATTGCATCAATAATATCTGCTTACTTGGGGCTGAAAACGTGGTTGTTGCTTTTATAGAGAGATTTACTTAATGACATAATTCGAAGATTGAAAATGTGCCTCCAAATATAGCCGCTAGAGATACGAGAAGTATAGAAAGGCCAAGAAAAGAAGTGAAGTTCGATGGGCTGGATCAGGCAAATGCCTTGTACTAAAAAGAAGATAGATAAAGCAGGAATATTTCTTCTTTGTATTCCCAAATGGTATCCGATAAGACAAAAAATTATAATTAAAATTAAACTCATGTATTTGGTTTGTGGGGAAGCTCATTCTGTTATAGTAGATGATTCATTTTTTGTTATGGGATATGAAGAGTGTATAGAATCCTTATTTTAGCACTAAATCCGTAAATTATTTTCATCATATCTTGGCTGTAGACAGTTCAGTTTTTGGATTAATAAAGTGTGCATTTAATGATCTTGTGAATAATCTAGTATTCCTTCAGTTATCTTGAAATTCTTTGTAAATGGAGGTTGATCCATTCTTTCTTATCTTAGTCACTTGTTTTTCAATGAAACTTCCGAAAGGCATTGCTAACAAGCAAATAAAATTGAAAAAAATTACCAGCATCTGCAAAACCTTTTTTGGGTTAATTTTGTGATTCAAAATGGTCATTTAAAGGAGTTGTTCGTGGAAAGCTTCTTCTATGAAGTCAGTTGTTTATAGACTTAATATTCTCATTCATTAGGAATTGCTAGGAAGCTGTTTTCTTCTCCGTGGAATGTTTGGCTTTGACAAAGTTAAAAGGGTCAAAGGTCTAGAGCCAAAGTGATTTTTAGCAGATTGATTGAAAAATTTCCTGTTTGACTGTGGGTGTTTTGTCTTCTGGAGCGTTGTTTTATTTTTGGACTATTAATTTCTATGAAGCAGATCACATTCTAAGATACTTAGGATGATAATTTTGTTTTAACAAGTAACATCTACAGCTTCGTTTAGATTTTGGCAGATTCCCTTGTCAAGAAAAAAAAACTTACTTAAACATTTTAAAGAAAGTAACCTTTGTCCTTAAAGCAATTTTATTAGAAAAATTTAGAAATGTTTTTAAGAAATAGGCATTTAGTGTGACTGCTAAAAAACACAAATTTTGAAAGATCTTTTTCATAAAAATTTTGAGTCTTGAAACACACTTCGTTTGAATCGCACTTCCACTCACAAACGCATAATTATACAAATTGCCTGGAAAATTAGCATATAAGACATGATAAATATGCGACTAAAAATATATTTGTGTAATTTTTGATTGAAAAAACAAAACAATACACCAAAATTAACTTCGTCATATTAAACAGTGCAATTAGCACCATCTGTTGGAAAAGTTTGAAGCTATTTTGAAAATAAAAATGTTGAACTATTTGTGAGAAAATGGCGAGTGCGTGTTTCAGAAAATGCCGAAATTTGATCAGAAAATTCATGAATTTTTGATAAACTTTATATGACATTAGTTAAAGCAAATGAACTCATAAATTCAATAATATGAACAAATTGCCTGTAATGTAAACATTAACAACATGAGATACAAGTCAGAGAAATTTCATTTTTATAAAAACAAAAATATGCATGTCCTTAATGAAAGATATAAATTAGAGAACAAATTTTACTTGAAGGAAAAATTTCTATCTTCAACTTTGAAGTTGTAGTAAGAGGCTGGAAAAATTTAAACTTTTGATATTTTGAAAATTCAGAATTAACCCTGAAAATAACACCAATGCCACCTTTATAAATGTATTTTACTCATTTCTTACAACAAATGTAAAGAAAAAATTTGGAGCTGTTTTTGAGAAAATGCCCCAAGGGCTTCATGTAAAGTACCCCCAAATTTTGTAGAATGTTTTCCAGAATTTAAAGCTTTGACTCCAGCCAGATCTACAGGGGTTTCTTCAATTTGGAAAAAAATCTACATATGGTTTAAATGCTAGTGGAGTTCACAATCAGACAGATAGATGGATGTTTTGAAAAAAAACAACACTTTTTGGGTATCAGGAGACCCCAAAACATGTATTTCCATAGGAATCTGGAAACTGTTTTCCGCAGCATTACATAATTCTCTCAGTACTATGTATATTACTCTGTATATACATACATATATGAGAAATTAAAATGTAGCATATATGTAACAACTTGTTGATCATACAAGTTGAAGTGACAGATGTGAGGATCTGAATAACTCCCAAATTAGTTAGTTTAAAAGTTCAAAATAAGTCAGTTAGAGAGTTTTTGTTTGTAGTACCTTCATACATTGTATTTTATTGTTACTGCCATAAATTTTATTATGAAAGCTAATCAGAAATTGATTCAAAGTAGGCTTCTTGGTAAAAGAAATTGCCTGTGTGTTAATTATAATAAATTAACATTTGTAAGCTTAGTGGATATGTTTTCCCAAGTTAAGGATCATTGTTCTAGTATGAAAAATCATTGTTCTCATGCTTTTTATTTTTTCAGAGTCTGTATGAAATTGCTGAAAATATAAAAATTACCAAGGAAACTTTACGCTTAAATGTCCTTATACAAGAACTCCAAGTTCTTCATCATACTTTAGAGGAATCTGTCACCTGCTTACCTTTGAGTCCTAGTCTTGAAGTTGGAGGCATCCATGTGCGTTCGTGCTCATATTTTCCCTCCAACACTCTACCTCTGAAAATTAACTTTCAGAGCATAGAAACTGGCATAATTCCTGCTATCTTCAAAGTAAGTTTTGAAATAATTAATTTAATTTCCCTTTAAATATTTGATTTTTGTGTCTCTTCAAATTTCTATAGGCATACTTGTATCTTTTGGAATTGCTTTTCTAGGTTGGAGATGACTTACAGCAAGATATGCTCACAATTCAAATGGTGCGGATAATGGATAAATTGTGGTTGAAAGAAGGCCTTGATCTTAAAATGGTAACATTTTCTTGTGTTCCTACAGGTCACAAACGAGGTGAGTGAGAGCTTTGTATGCAGTTGTAAGATGGTATGAAGTTAAAAAGCAACTAAGTAATAATATTTTTGGATATGCTTGTTAGGTATGATTGAAATGGTTACCAATGCTGAGACACTACGAAAAATTCAAGTTGAGCTTGGCTTGACTGGATCCTTCAAGGACAGACCTATTGCAGAATGGCTAGCTAAACATAATCCCTCAGCATTTGAATATGAAAGAGCAGTGAAAAATTTCACTGGTAAGTGGTATTACAAGTGACCACAATTTTTAAATATAAAAAGAGTGTCGATAGTTACTGTAAATGAAAAATAATTTAGTTTCAATTTTTGGCAAATTTGTTTCACCATTTTATTTCCCTTTATTATGAACTATTAATGCAATATTTCAGCTTCGTGTGCTGGCTACAGTGTGGCCACATATATCCTAGGAATATGTGACAGGCACAATGATAATATTATGTTGAAAACATCTGGTCATCTTTTCCATATTGATTTTGGAAAGTTTTTAGGTGATGCTCAAATGTTTGGGAATTTCAAGCGGTAAGTATTTGAAGTTGTTAGTTTGAAATAATGTCGTTTGCACAGTTACAGTATTGATGTGTACTTACAAAATATTTATTTTGTTAACACTTTTGTTCCTAGTGACCGCACTCCATTTGTTTTAACATCTGACATGGCATATGTGATAAATGGTGGTGATAAACCATCTGCAAAATTTCATCATTTTGTAGATTTATGCTGTCAAGCATTTAATATTGTGAGGAAACATGGAAATTTGATTCTTAACCTATTTGGCTTGGTAAGTTCTAATGATCGTATAGATGGTTTCATTTTGAAAAGCATTTTGCATTTGATTGAAAGGGTTTCTGCATGTATAGTTTTGCATGCAAAATTTTTGGGGTATTGTTTCTGATATTTGAATAGATAAAAGCACTAGACATATTTGGTTACAAAGAATTCAGTAGGATTTTCTTATTAAATCACATCACCTTTTCACCATTCTTCAATGTGTGATGGGTTTTATAGATCTCTAATTTCTTTTCCTTTTTAGATGATAAATTGCATTTTCAATATGCAATTTTTTCCTTTCCTTCATGGGAAGAGGGCTCCTAATGCATGCACATACCTGTTTTTGCATTATGTACAAACAGCACAATGGTATTGTAATCGGGTGGACCTAGCTACTTACCAGTTGTTACAGACTTGTTACCTAGGCCTTTCTTTACAATTATTGCATAAAAACCCTCCAGAGTTCTCAGAAAAGGTTTAAGGGCAGTCAGATCTTATACTGCCCATAATTTATTGTTTCTATGACATTTTCTCACAACGTATTCAATGGATCTGCTTGAGATTTAATACCAATGAAAACCATGTAATTGTTTCTTTGTGTATCATAGCAGAGTTATAATATTTGCATTCATAATAAGTACTTTATAACAAATCTAATAATAACAAAACATGAATACAACATTTGTTTTACATTGGTGTGACATCATAATTTGTACCCTTGCATTAATAAACCTACTTCAGTACTTTCACTGTTTACTTTCCAACCCACTGTATTCATTTCAGTGTACTTGTTTGGGTAGTTTCTGAGAAAAAGGAACATTTGTCCAGAAATATGTAATTTTTTTCCCAAGAAGACTTAGAGTTGTACAAATGTACAAACAGAACAAAGAAACATTTTTAATTACTCACCAAAATGTGCTAATCAATAACAATGCATACTACCTCTGAAAAGAACCTTTATGACTAGGTCTAGGATGCTGATGGCCAAAAAAATCTTCAAAAATTACCTATAAAATTACTTAAAAATAAGGGGAAAATGATCTAATTTTTTAAAACATTCTCAAATTTTTGTTTGGAAATGTTTATTGATTCAATGAATTTTACTTTCAATTTTAAATGAAATTTATATACATCAAAGTTTATTTAACATAGGCTTTATTTTTGGAGGAAATGTAATCCTTAGCTCCGATCTTCCATTTGTCAATTTTGAAAGGTTGATCCAGTTACCATGTAATTTTGAGACTTGGAAAAACAGATTCCCCTGCAATAGTGAATTTTGTCATGAACTGATGATACAATAAACACCTTTTTTTGGTTTGTCATTGTAAGTTTATGAAACATTCACTGACAAGACACACGAAAAGGAAACAAAATGCTTTAAAATGACACGAAGGTAAAAAGCAATTACCTAAAAATTGAAAAATTGCAAAAATGACAAAAACATAACCCAATAACTAAACATTTTTATCACCTATATGTTGTAATAAACACTGATTTACAAGTTAGCTACATCTAGAATGCACCAATTAAAAGATGACGTGTTGTCAAAATCGCAGCCCTGTTTATGACAAATATTAACAAAACAACAGCCTTCATGATAAATTAGTTTCAAAGTTATGGTCATTTAAAACTTTGCAAGTTAATCCCTGCCATTTTGACAGATGCAGACATAAATAAATTCATTTAAAAGCATGTTCAGTTATAATTTCATCATAAATTCTTTATAAAAATGTTCTGAAATCCCTAAATATTTACTTAAAATTAAAAACCAAGAAAGTCAGAATTTATAGTTTTTGTGTTGACTCCCATTACATGGTTGAGAACCTAGGTTGTGGATGGATGTTGTTTGCTAGAGAGTACATGGTTACTTCATAAGGTTCCTGTCCAAATCAAACATTAAATTCAGAGTTCTGCTTTCATATTGCTGATGCAGGATCTTCAATAATAAATTTTCTCCATTAACAATTGATCTCAGGACCATGCACATGGAGGGCTATTGAATAATCTACTGGAACCCTCATTACAGAATTCTTACTCTTTAAATAGAGAGATATTCACATATATATGAAGAAATTCACAAATGTGAAGTATGCATTGCATTATGCTTAAGCATTGAGGGCTTGTAGTGTATAGTTTATAAATTGATTGTTTCTCTGCTTCAGATGACTTCATCAGGAATACCTGGTGTCACAATGGATGCTGTCCATTATGTCCAAAAAGCTCTTCTTCCTGGTTTGTCAAATCCAGAAGCTGCAGCTATGTTTGCTCGTATGATAGAAAGCTCGTTGAAATCTTGGTTTACCATTCAATTTCTTTCTTCATAATTTGGCACAACTTCGATTCACTGGAGACCATAATGATGGAGAATTACTCAGTTTTATTCCACGAACATACTCTGTAAGTAAATAATATTCGTTAAACGTTTCTTTGGATTTTAATGTAAATAAATAGATCCCCAAATTTTATTTGTCAGTAAAAAAGTTTTATTAAAACTTTTTCTAAAATTCTTTATAATTATATATTATATTCAAAAAACTATATTATTACAGTTCACTGCGTTCTTACCATACAAAAACGATGTTTTAGATCAGAAAGAATTGTCGGAACATCATTATTGTTTAAAAACTTTTTCTCTTCTGATGAAGGTCTATTAAGTATTAATTAAGCACAATTACTTTTTCAATCAAGACATTCAGTTTTATTAGCTCAAAGTGATTAGGTATTCTGTTTTAATTCTTGATTATAAGTTGGCAGTCGAGCAAGTTTTGGCTAAGTGTTTTTTAACCATCTCGGCCTATTTTTGAATACGGATAATAGATTGATGAAAATTATTGTAAATTTTAAAAATTCTTTTTTCTTTTTCCTGTGCAGTGGGCCCAAACCATTGTTTTTTAGTTTTTAGAATTTTTTGTCAAAAGGAAGAAATATAATTTGAGTAATAAATTGTCCTTGAAATTAAGAAACGAAAATAGCCAGACCATGAATCGTGCCATACTTTTAATGTTTTGCTTAGTGAGGCAGATTATTCTAATGATGTCTCATTATCATTTATGAATAGGATGCAGCAAGAGGGACGATAAGAGTGTGTGTTTATGGATCAGAAGAGATATTGATCCTGAAAAGTATATGTATCCATTCTACGCATTGAAAGAGCTAAACCCAGATCCAACTTATTTGTTTCGATCTTACAAAGAATTTTTGGAATTTCACCAGAAGTTGTGCATACTTTTTTCGCCTGGCTAATATCACAGGTAAGTGCAGTGTTTTCATTGATGTTTCATGCCTTAGTTTTTTTCTTTGTACACACAATTCGCACGATTGCAGTTTGCAAGAGTGTTTTCTTGCTAAAGGTGGTTGGAGGTTGTATGGGGAGAGAAAAAATCAATTTTTATGATAATGAACCATGACATAGTAACTTCTTGATCTTAGGACTTAAATTAGTAGGTAATAAATTATTTTGAGTACACAATTAAGTAAGAGTTTTCAAAATTTTCTCCAGGTCAAAATACTATAAAGTAATTTTATATATTTAGTATTTTCATGTCATCTGCAAGTAATAAGTACTCTACAACACAGTTTTATTTAAAGTTTTGGAAAGTGTTCATTTTTCAAATTTTCTTATATATCTTCAAACAGTAATAAGATATGTCATACTGTACTGGCTAATTGTTGCAATTACGTCACGTAATAGGCAGAACTGTAGAAAAGTTACTTCAAAAGAAGTACCACACACACAATGAATGGAAAATCGAAAACCCATAAATAAACAGTTCATGCATTTAGTTTGTTATATTCTCAAAGACTAGTGAAATGAAGTGGTTACACATTCTAGAACATTTGCTTCATGTGAACACAAAACCAAACATGTTCCTGAAAATGAAATGGAAATGTTGTACCTAACCTAAAATGTCTAAAATTCTAAATACGAAGATCTAGTCATTTATGTTGTAGTAAACCATGGCAGGAAATCCGGCAAGACCCGTAATTTAGAAATGCAATGCATGACAAATTATAGTCACTGATCTTTGCTTTAAAAACACATGATCTTTGAACTAGTAATCTTTAGTTTGCTAACTATAATCTCAAACTCATGCTTGCTCACTCTAGTCAAAAAACATAAGACTACTTCTGAACAAATTAAGACAGAGAAGTGTTCATTCTTTTACTTTTAAGATGTGCTTAGTGTTTAGTTCTACTAGCAAGTAATAACACAGCTGAAGCTCTACTACCTTTCATTTAAAGGAAAAAATCATGAAATATGGTTGAGCAAGTTTAATTTTCAATAAGTAGAAGTTGAAGTTGAAGTTGAAATTTTGTATATGTCAAGTGTTTATATTATTTTATTCAACCACTGAATGTGAAGCCACTTGAAATATTATTATTCAAAATTGGAATATCAGAATATTTGTGTTTGTACTAAAGTTAATGAGCAAAGGGTAACTGAAGGAATAGTACAGGAAAAAAATAACTTACACCACTGATAGAATTAAATTATATGTATTATAAAACAATACATGTTTTTGGGGGACCAAACAGATGACAAACAACTAACAATAATAGAAATTAAAATATACAGATGGAATATACAATGTCAAAAATAACAGATTAATTTTTAATAAATTGACCAACTAGCAGTTTGTTTATTTATTTATTTATTTATTTAACTAAATTAATGCTTTACGATTGTGTGTGTATTATAAAATAATGACTGGTACTATTAAGACATTGTCAACTTTTTGTTCATTATTATTTTAGTATAGTTCCAATTTATTTTGCACAAATTCAATTGAATTGAATACTGTGACATCACACAAACATTGCATAAAATATAGGCAGGCACCATTGTTCATGTCGAACTACAGTTCATTTTGGCAATTCTGATAACTAGCAAATATTATGATCACTGTAATTCCATTTTGCACCACTTTCATTAAGTGTCAAATTCATCATATGCATGAAAATCATCTAGAGCTGGAGACAGTAAATCTTCATCAGATTCATCAGAACTATCTGGAATTATAATTGTGAGTTGCTCTAAATTACTGTCTGGTAGTCGCCTCTCTCGTAATGACTGGTGTGTTCCATCATTTGATGAATGTGGACTCCAGAGATTACCATCTTCATCATCAGTTTGCAAGTTCTTTTGGTTTTCACTGTCAGTTTCATTACACACACAACTCTCACTGCCTGGATTAAATTGACGACTTGTTTTTCCTACTTCTGGTAGTAATTTTTCTTCATCAGTCTTAATTAAAATGTTTTCTTTATTGATGATGTTGCTAGTGTTTTGTTGTATTCCTTCCTCTGGTGTTAGGAAATGTTGATCTGAATCCTCAGTAACAGCTCTTTTAGATTTCTTAACAACCCTCTTGTTACCATCTATAGTATTTTTCTCTCGTGCTTTTGAAACTTGAACTTGATGAGTTTTGTGTTCTTTTAGGGATGACTCTTTTCCTGAAATTTTCTTTTCTGAATTTGAATCATTCTTGCTTTTAATCTTTTCTGCTGACTTATTTTTGTTATTGTTGACAAGACGTTTTTTGTTTTGTAATGCATCATTTTTTGCTTTATCTCGTTTTTCTTCAAGTGGAATAGGTTTTGAATTTGCATTTGGATCAAAGTACGAATCAAATTTGTAACTGTAAGTTCCAACTAATTGTGCGTTTGTCACCGGCCCTTCTTTTACAGTCATGCGTGCACGAAACCATGGCAGTTTAATTCCCATCGCAGTGAACTTGAATTTACACTGGCTTGTGTAGCGTTTTGTGGTTTCACTTCGTTTACCCTCTGGAACAAAATATTTTAACATAACGAAACAATAGTAAAAACAGTATTGTGTGTTTTAAAATGTTTATAAATGTGCACCTTTAACTTTTTAAACATTAGATTTGAATAAAATGTTTGTACATTATGTGAGTTTGTATCGTAACTATGCAAGAAGTCTTACCTTCTTGTGGAATCTCTGCTGCTGTATAATAGACTGATCATGAGTGCTTAAGGTTCTGATCTGTTACTGTCCTTCCTTTCCAGACACTGTAATTGATAAGAGATTTTAGTGATGGTATTGATAAAGCATTTTTAGTGGGATCATCTTAGTGTAATCTTCAGAGAACTGTCAACTGATAAAGGTTCATGGAAATGAAGTATGACCTATTCTAAACATTTCAATACAAACATTATTCATGTTATCTTTGACAGGGCATGTGAAGTTATGCTTGTTCTCTCTGATGAATGATGAGATAGATGAAAGAATTGTTAGAAACTATTGGCAAAATAAATCTTTTGTATGTATGTAAGCATGCATTTTTTAAATTTATTTTTGTGTCTCTTTCAGTTTACCTACTGGAATCTCTATGGGTCGTTCAAACATAAAGCAAGTTGCTGAAAAACGCAAAGTGGAAATAGAACGATTTTTGAAATCTCTTTTTATGATGGCTGATGAAATTTCCCATTCTGATTTGGTGTACACATTTTTTCATCCTCTTCTTCGTGATCAGCAAGAAGCTAACATTCATGCTAAGAAAGTCAAAGGTAATTTATTTCTTAATGAAATCTCCTTTTCAAAATTAATTTGTTTTTTGGAATACTGTTTATTACAACTTTTTTTTAAAGCATGCTTTTCATTTTAAATATAGTAATTCATAATTATCAGTTAAAATTAAAAGCGAGTTTTTGTCTTATTTTTGCCTCACAAGAAGTCTTTTATTTGGTGGGGTTTCTTGACTGTACATCACAAATCAAGCATAGTTGAAAGAAAAACAAGAATTAAAGGAAAATATATTGATTGCACAAAAGAAAACAAGTATTTGATTTCCTCCTGAATGTCACATTTCTTATCTTGCCATTGTTAATAACATAAAAATCATTCAAGTTTATATACATATGCAATCTGTATCTGTTCATATCTGTTTATATACATATGCAATCTGTTTATGCAATCTTCCAGAGGTGGTTTCAGACATTTTGGGAAGATGTGGTAATATCAGTTCAGACCTCTCTACACATATTTTAAAACTTAAAATTTTTTTAATTTGAAAAAAGAAAGTTTATTCATAATAGAAATACACTCCTATGGAATGTAATAGTCAATATGTGGTCATTGTTTTGAATAAATGAAGTAAAAGCACCATTAATTGATATTGGAGGAGTATTTCCCTCCCTGGATGTGCCGTCCTGAGCTTCTCTCTTGTGTGAATTGTTATTTTCAGTCAGTGCATTAAGAACACTCCACTTGATTTTGTCCTCAGAGCCAAAAGTTCGACGAGAAAGCGGTTTAGAATGCTGGCAAGTGCGTGGTCAATTGAAGCTCTCCTTTCACTATCAAAGACAGCCTGGTATTTTGATGGTGATGGTGCATCATGCGCGAGGTTTGCCCACTGTAGCTGGTGGGCAAGAGCCGTCACCGTATGTAAAGGTTTACTTGAAACCTGACCCTTCTAAAATTACCAAGAGGAAGACTAAAGTTGTGAAAAGAAATTGTCATCCCACATTTATGGAAACGGTGTGTAATTGTTTTTAACAGTTGTGTGTTTATCTTTCTTTCTTTACAATTTCTTTGTGTAGCTCTGAATCGTAATTAGATTTCTTGAGTTACCACTGAGTGAGATTGACTTGACAGAACCTCATTTAAAGTGTAATTTTTCCTGAAAATTGTTTTGTTTGTATGAAAATATATAAAACATGCTCATATATATGTATATTTTTTTTTTTCTTTCTTAGCTGGAGTACCGAATGCCTTTAGAGGTTGTACGTCATCGTCGCCTGGAGGCTACTGTTTGGAATCATGATGCACTACAAGAAAATGAATTTCTTGGTGGAGTTGTTCTGCCTCTGTGTAGTGTTGACTTGACTTCAGAAACTGATGAATGGTATTCTTTAGGAAATGTGACGAGATCTTGAGATCTTTAAATTGTTGATAAGCTCTAAAACTACTGGGAATTGCATCCTTTAAGGATGAGCTGTAAATTCACCAAATGCAAATTTGTAATTTTGTTTTAAGAAGTTCGAAATGCAAGTGTAGGGTACTTGCAGAACATGTGCTCCAAGCCAGTTGATGCCTATTCACAATGCACTAATGAATTTTTGTTCCTTGGATATAAATGTTATACAAGTTTTAGATACCTTTTTTCTATTTATTGTTCAGTAAATAAAATGCATATTCTGAAAAGGTTTTGTGTTTATTTTATTGGCTTATATGGAGTGGGGAAAGTTATTGGGTTGAAGATAAATTCTTAAAATAGTTTCAAAATTATTCCACACAGATTGCTTTGTCACTTTATTCCCTTTGTTTGCAGTGTTGCTAGCTAAGCCAGAGTACAGTGCTCTATAATAGCCATCACTTATTAAACCAGCTGGGCTTAGGGCATCGCCAGGGCTCTCACGTGCCTTCTCCCTGTTTCCCAACAAAACAGCAGAAAATGAAGAAACACGATAGTGTATACTTAGATTTTTCTATATTTTTCGATATACTATATTTTGAATTTTTTTGTCAGTGGTAAGCACATTTCTGAGGCCATGAACCCCAGTTGAGAACCCCCATCGCAAATTAATTAAAGATTCATTTTGTAAGGTTGTAGGTGTAACAATGACGTAATGCCATCGGCCACTATAGAAAAATAGAAGTATAGAAACTCATTCTTTCGTGCATTTCGTCAGTACCAGTAGTAATTAGTATACGAAAACCAAACAATAGTGCTCGTCTAGAAGACTGGAAAAATTCCAGACAAATGCGCCATCATTTGACACCCACATCATCCTATCAAAATTCCAAGAACTAACGGTGAGGCCTCGAGAAGGAGGCATGTTTCCTAGGCTTGGAATTACGAAGTACCTGCGTGCCCACAGCTGCCCCGGTCGATGTGAATAACATACACAATCATGGGCGTGCAACAGAACGTTGTCATTTCCCTAGGAAAATAACCATTTTTTTTAATATTGTGATAAATAGCCAATCGCTGACGTGGGTATTTTGTGTCTGCGACAGAGATCGGTTAATAATGACATTGTTCGCGAAGAAAACAATACCAATTACATTTTTCAAAAAACAAACTACCTACGCGGACGAGGTCTTCGCACCAGAGATGCGTTTTGTATTCTACGTTGGAGTAATCGTTACATATTTTTAGTCAGTCCATTGATGTTAGGTGCACCTTTAATTTCGTTCGATTACATTGGTAACGTATTCGAATAGATGCCGTATTGCATTGAGGGAGCGTAGGCTTCCGCGGCCAGTCAGTAAACTCTTGGACGTCCGGAAGACCCCGGGTCGTAGGCCAACTTTCCGCTGCCATTCTGTGCCATTCCTCAGAACGACAAATGTCTCCTGGACGGTATTTACTAGCATATTGCATTGTTAGTTTTGACATACACGGCATTTTAAAACGATTATCTTTTTGAGGAATTAATAGTTGAAAATAATTCATAGTATATATCTGGGAGAGCTTGGAAGAGTGAATAATGCCCTACTTTGTTTCTTTGCACCGCTCATTATAATCGAATATAATAGCTGGTGCCATGCGATGAAAATTATAGTTTTAAGATTGTGTAGTCAATGATCATTGGTGATCTTCAAAGATTGTGAATGAATATTTGTGGCAAGGCAGAGCATTCGGTCAGTTTGCTAGTATTTCCTTCTTTGTGTATATAAATGCAGTATATGCTTTGGCGTATTGGCAGGCTATCAATGTCGAATGCAGGTGATTCTAGTTAGTTGCGAGTCTTGCAATAGTTTCGAACAGCTTGATGGATTGTGCATTGCTTCGCATACATTGAAGTAGGCGCCATGATCAAACTATAGAAAGGAGGCTGTGTTCTACTACAGAATACTAACATTAATTTCCTCTTGCCGATAATCCAATAAGTGAGAAATGAAATCATACTTTTCCACAGACGGATTACGTTGTTGATGCCCGATATGGCACTGAATTTTAAAGTCGTTCCGGAAAGACCGATCTTGAGTAGTATCTAATCTCTCTGAGATTGCTAGCAGACTAAGCTTCCGAGTCCTCTTGACCGGCGCTAGACATTGCTTATCGTAATTTCTTATCACGAAGTGTAGAAGATTTTCGAGAAATACGGCATTGCACTTTACTTAGGTCTGATTTAGCGCACTGATTCATGTAGGCCTACCAGTTGACAGATTTCTGTTTTATTTTCTAGTCATGAAATTAAAATTCTTATTTTTTGTGTATCGGTTACCTCTCAGATTTTCAACGTTTTAACGTAAGTTGAAAATAGAAGCCATGATCGACAATCATGAAATTGGAGTGTCTCCATCTGCGATTTCAAAAACGCGTATGGTTATTTACAAGATATTAAATCCATTCAATTATTTTTACTTGAAAAAGTATAGAGTTCAATAGTACAGAGAAAATTATGCCATGATGCGAAAATCGATCTCGAAATATTAACGAAAATACGTTTTGGGCGGATCTAGCCGATCATTTTACAGGGGGTCATCCTAAATGTTTGTTAAATAATGAACATATTAGTAATTATATTGCATATTATTTATGTACTGTATATTTGACACTATACAGTAGTATTGTTTAAATAATTACACAATTCGACCGTAATTGAATAATTAAATCAATTGTGCCAAATAAAGGAAGGAAAACGAAAACTCTAGGCCTTTTTTTTTGGGGAGGGGGCATGGCCCTCCTCTGGATCCACTAGTGTTTAGGGTCCTTTGTTGGCGAAAAAGGTTTTTCTTCTTCAAAACGTCCGCGTGTCTTTCCGTCCGTTATTGCACAACACATGCATCTAAACTATGTGTAGTTTTTTTTTCAAACTAAACTCTTTGGCCGCTTTGGCAGTCTCTCGACCACTGTACGCGACTTTTAAGCATCTGCGTGCGCAGCTCGAACTTCGCATGAGCAGAGGCTCAATACTGTTGCATGAATAACAAAAACGGAGATTCATAACTTAAGTTGAAAAAAAATCAATGGTTTCAAATAAAATCCCTTCGAATTGGATTCAATCAACCCCGAATCTAGGACAATGTCCATTTTCCTAGATGTATTTTCTTATCTCTAAATTTAGCAAGAACACAATTTATGGCCCACGAAGGACACTCAAAAAACTCACGGCATTGCCTTGCCGTCGCCAAACTAGCGATAAGATAGGGTTCACATTCTTGTGCAGGGGGGCTGGGCATGTTCGCACGCGGGTAAAATTGGTCTGGAGATGATTCAGTGCGCAGTGGATTCACTGGTCCGTGTCATGTGGAGGTGAGTGATGGTCCGCCGGCGGAAAGTAATTCGAACAGCGTGCGAACCTAAAGTTCAAGAGCAAACTTAGAAAATCGTCTTCAGAGACGCTGTCGGACCTGCTACACCTTCGCCTGAACAGTCTGTCACTGAAAGTTTCTAAGTGCAGGTTTTGTAGTTTGCTTGCTGCAGTTCGAAGGACGCGACGGGCCAAGTGGCGAGGAAATGGTGTCTGCAACACGATGGAGCGCCAAGCCACTCATCGCTTGCTGTGCCGTTCTCTCCGGATCTTGTTCCCAGAGTCTATACTGAATATGGGCTTCAAAGGGAGATGGTTTGCAACCGTGGAGAACATGAAATCGACTGCGACGGCTCAGCTCCAACAGGTGCCGAAAGGAACAATCTATCGCTGATTCCAACAATTCCAACTGGAGCGATGGAGCAAGTGTATAGGTGCGTAAGAATCCCACATCGAAGGTGATTAGGCTACCATTACCGTAGGTAATAATTAACATTCCGGGAACTTTTTGAACGCCACTCTTATAGCAAGACGAACAAAATCTCGATTAAAAAAAAAAATGATGTGCATGGAACAATAAAACACTTGTTCTGAATGCTAAAATACAATAAATTACGTGGTGTATCTAAATATAATTGATGGAATCGAATACTTCTCAAAATTTGTTCTTTATACTCGAAATTTCATGTTCAACTTTACCGTTGTGAGAAATTGCATTTGATAGCAGTACGAGCGCGTGATAGTCGCTGTTGATCTTGCTGTAAGCAGAGCCCCTAGCTATAAGATGTAATCCCTATCGGCGAATTAGTGAGCTTAGACGCTAAATTTGAATCTTTGCACTGGTTTAATCTCGTCCATTAGGTCTATAAGGTCTCGGCCACGATGTTAGAAATTCCAGTCACAGGTGGCAAAAATGTTATAAAACTTGTGTTGGTTATTTGTGCTTCAATGTCACAGAGAAAGTATAGTCTTCTACACGCGCATAATGGCATTATTCATTCGTAGAAATTACTACACGAACGCCTTTGTCGTTCGGGTCGTAAGTATCAACTCCTCAACAACAGCAATCATTACTCGCCCGTTGATTGATTCTGGGCTCGTAAACTTCCTGAGGCCAATAGTCCCGTAAGTGAAGTGCATATTTTTATAGCGCACGGTGACGGTGATCTCCCCCCGTTGGATGACGTGTTCCGGCGCCGTCATTCGCGTCGGTTTGCGGGTTTTCCCCAACCAGGTATCTCCCACCAGCAGGACACCGGCCCAAGCTCTAAGCTTCCGACTGGTCTCCCGGCATGTGTGCTTGTACACATGTGCATTAATGTGTGTATGTGCATAAGGGGTGAGGTTAGGGGAAGGGAGAGGAAGGAAAGATCGCGCGCAGTCCGTGACCCGTTTGTTGCGGTAGTGCAACGGCATTCGCCTGGCGTTGATTGGAGAAACCACGGAAAGCTACCGATCAGAGCAGTCGGCCTCCAGAATTCTCCCCGAGACAGCGACTGAATACGATCTAGATGACAAGCTGGTGTCGAAACTCCTGCCGCTGTCAGGACTCGAACCTAGGGCCTCCCGGTCAGACGGACTGCAATGACATCAACTGACGCTCTGTGGCACCTAAGCCGGTGTTGTTGAAGAATATAATACAACCCAAATTTGTGAAAATTTTGAAGTATTGAACAACGACGCTGTATGTGAACACACAAACCGATATGTCTAAAACGTTATTTTACCTACGAAGCTAAAACTTCATAGACCACCTATGAAGCTACAACAACCCGACAGAATTATTTACAACCCCACATCTTGTTGCCCCGTTGGGCTCTCTTCGCGTGTCGTGAATTTATCTCGAAAAATTCCTAGGCACTCAGATTACCTCCGTAAATTTCAGCTATTTCTCAAAATCTTAATAATTATTACTTTTGCATAGGGACTTCTTGCAGACAATCACAGACATTTCTGGGCCTAAAAGATAAAGCACGTCCACGAAACAAAGGGTTGGAGGGTTTATCAACCTGTTTCTGAAAGCGTGTACCGTTACCGCGAAATGTAAATGCGCACTTCATTGTGAGCTCGTGCTTGCGCGCGTGCTCAAACAACGGTTGGGAATAATGGGTGTAGATAATCCTGTCAAATCAAAATCCATCATGTCATCTGCGCGGATGCATCAATCATTTTTCAATTTCCACAGTTCTTCATCGCTCATTTGATGCGAGACGTAGTCTAATCTTTGATCTCGTGAGTTAGTGATTTCCAAACGGAGAGAGCCGCATCAACGAGAACAGTTCACGGTAATTTAAAAAATCATATTGATGGGTTTTGAAATTTAAAAAGCAACTGCGTCAACAGATGCAATTCGCCTGATTGAAAACTTGCTGCAAGAGAGGAGTTACCGACTGAACTTAGCTTAGAGCCAGAATTACCGTTGTCTTTGGTGCGGTCCTGGCCGGGAGATCTTAGGATTCGATTCCCGTTGGTGGCGAACAGTAGCAGGGGTCGAATTTGGTCGCGGTCTGAAGAAAACTCATTCGGGTCCTCTGATCAATAGTTTCCCGTGTTTTCATCCATCAATACCAGGCGAACGCCGGGGCAGCACGCTAACAAGCGATCCACGGACCACGCGCTTTCCTCTTGCTTTCCTCTTCCTCCCTTGCACACTCATTTACATGCACTGTACTACCACACAA